GTTTTTTCAGGCTGAGGATTGTCTTGAGCTGCCCTCTGAAAAAGGAGAGACCCTCCCTCTCCAACTCTGCCTAGCCAGGATAAAAACAAAATCTGATTGTATTTTGTTAAAACCAAATGCAGTTAAAATTAAATGAATTGAGTGCAGTTCATACAATGGTGTTCTCTTTTTTGAATATATTAGTATTGGATATTAATGATAGTTTGGCCCATTTTCAGAAGTCACACTAAAAGAGCTAGGGATAACCGTGGGACCTCAGCTTCTGCCCTTTTAACCTACGACTCTCCTGTGGAACTGCAGCACACATGACAGTTCTTTTACATTGCGAGGAGCTTGTGCTGTTTGTAATTTTTGATGCTGAAATTCCTAATGCTCACTGGTGTTTTTCTGGCTTCTTTTCCCAGGCAATGATCTATAACAAAATCCTGAAGCTTTCCACATCTAACTTGTCCATGGGAGAGATGACATTGGGACAAATCAATAACCTGGTTGCCATAGAAACAAACCAACTCATGTGGTTCTTGTTCCTGTGTCCCAACTTGTGGGCTATGCCCGTTCAGGTAGAGCATCGAAGTAAGGGCCAAATTTTTGGAAGATGTCACAGACTTAATTTTGATCGAGTGTTGTGGGGAGAGAATATATGACTGAAACTGAAGGATTTGGGGGTCCTTAAAAAGAGTCCCATCCTCACTGATAAAATCAAGAACAGCAAGTTCATTTTTTACCTCAGATAGTATGGAATAAGCCAGTGTTTTAAAACCTCAGCAACTTGAAGATGTCTGGACATCAACTCCCAGAATTCCCCAACCAACTAGCATGCTGGGAATTGAAGTCCACACATCTTAAACTTGCCATGGTTGAGAAACACAGGCATAAGCTACAAATTATATTAACTTTGCAATGTACTCCTGGGGTTATAGTATTCAATTCCCATAATCCTCAATTAACAAATGCTGTTTATGATTGAAGCGTGTACTGTAACACTTACCAGGGTGGTGTGATGGTCACTGACAACTATAACATTTAGTCCTATAATATATTTGTGTGTATCAAGTCACAAGTGATTAATAACTGTCTTTCAATCCAGAATCCTGGTGATTAGTAAGAGTGTGCCCTCTGATTGGAAAAATGTACAGTTTATTGAAATATCCTCTAAAAATGTCCTCTTATTTAAACTGACTTAAGATTGACAGGAATTCTAAAAACCTTAATGGAATTGGAGAGACAGGCAGAACAGGTGCTGATATATGCGGATGATATCTTTATTCCTCATCTGATTTTAGTGACACACGAGTTTAGTATTCATTCTGATTACTGTATCAACTGAAATAAATCAGATTTGATCCTAATTAAGGCAGCCCTCAACTTATGACTTTAATGAAGTCTGCCCATTACAGTTGCAAGTTGTGACAGTCATAAAATGGGTTACCCACGTAACTGACTCGATTTTAAGACCTTTTTTGTGCAAGCTCTGGGTTTCTACCTTCAGCTCCTACCTTCAAGGCATTAAAAATGATAAATGGCAATAGCACTTAGACTTATATACCGCTTCATAGTGCTTGTACAGCTCTCTCTAAGCGTATTGCCCCAACAATCTGGGTCCTCATTTTATTCACCTCCGAAGGATGGAAGGCTGAGTCAGCCTTGAGCCAGTCAGGATCAAACTCCTGGCAGTGAGCAGTGAGTTAGCCTGCAATACTGCATTCTAACCACTACACCATCACAGCCCTCCCTCCCTCTCTCCCTCCCTCCCTCCCTCTCTCCCTCTTCCTTCCTTCCTTCCTTCCTTCCTTCCTTCCTTCCTTCCTTCCTTCCTTCCTTCCTTCCTTCCTTCCTTCCTTCCTTCCTTCCTTCCTTCTTCTTACCAATAACACCTAGACTTATATACTGCTTCACAGTGCTTTTACAGCCCTCTCTAAGTGGTTTACAAATGTCAGCCTATTGCCCCAACAATCTGGGTCCTCATTTTATCAACCTCGGAAGGATGGAAGGCTGAGTCAGTCTTGAACTAGTCAGGATCAAACTCCTGGCAGTGAGCAGTGAGTTAGCCTGCAATACTACATTCTAACCACTACACCACCACAGCCCTTCCTTCCTTCCTTCCTTCCTTCCTTCCTTCCTTCCTTCCTTCCTTCCTTCCTTCCTTCCTTCCTTCCTTCCTTCCTTCCTTCCTTCCTTCCTTCCTTCCTTCCTTCCTTCCTTCCTTCCTTCCTTCCTTCCTTCCTTCCTCCCTCCCTCCCTCCCTCCCTTCTTTCCTTCTGTCCTTCCTTCCTTCCTTCCTTCCTTCCTTCCTTCCTTCCTTCCTTCCTTCCTTCCTTCCTCTTACCAATAACACCTAGACTTATATACCGCTTCACAATGCTTTTACGGCCCTCTCTAAGCGGTTTACAAATGTCAGCCTATTGCCCCCCCAAAATCTGGCTTCTCATTTTACCGACCTCGGAAGGATGGAAGGCTGAGTCAACCTTGAGCGGGCCAGGATCGAACTCCTGGCAATGGAATGCAGAGCTAGCGTGCAATGATGCATTCTAACCACCCTGGTGGCGCACAAGCTTCCCTTGTGTTGAACCCATCTCCAGGTGATTTGGTATGCATGCACATATAGCCAAAGTATTCGGGGTACCACCCCAGGAGAGAATTCCCATCTGAAAGAAGCAGATGCTGCAATAGTTGGAGGTACCATAGTCCATTCACGCCCATGTGCCCAGCTCTCATACCTAAAATTTGTTCACTTTTAAAACTAAACCATACCTAAAACATGGCAGATCTTTCAAAGAGTGACTTTTCCTATTTCAATAGTTCCAAGATCTGGAGCCGTTTCCATATCTCCAGTCAAAATCTGTGCAGATAAATGCAAATGAATAGTGTTTTCTAAGCCCTTCTCCTTTCCCCTATTTTTTTGTAGATTATTATGGGAGTGATCCTGCTCTATCATTTACTGGGAATGAGTGCGGTGGTGGGAGCCGCTGTGATCTTACTCCTGGCTCCCATTCAATATTTCATCGCAACCAAGTTGGCCGAGGCTCAAAAAAGTACTCTTGTAAGTTATTCTTGTTTCATTCTATTTGTGTTTGAATATGAGCTGTCAAAAGTTGTTCTTCTTGAACCAGAGCACATAGGTCACTGAAGTTTGTCTTACTCTCAAAAGAAAGATATTCTCCATTCAAACTGGTGCATACAGTACAGAATAATAAAGTTGGAAGGGACCTTGGAGGTCTTCTAGTCCAACCCCCTGCTCACCATTTCAGATAAATGGTGGTCCAATCTCTTCTTCAAAACCTCCAGTGTTGGAGCACCCACAGCTTCTGAAGGCAGGTTGTTCCACTGATTAATTGTTCTGTCAGGAAATCTCTCCTTAGTTCTAGGTTGCTTCTCTCCTTGATTAGTTTCCATCCTTTGCTTCTTGTCCGGCCATCAGAATAGCTTGACTCCCTCTTCTTTGTGGCAGCATCTTAGATATTGGAGCACTGCTATAATGTCACTCCTAGTCCTTCTTTTTATTAAACTAGACATACCCAATTCCAGCAACCGTTCTTTATGTGTTTTAACCTCCAGTCCCCGAAACATAAAGGCTGTTTTCTCAGTAAATTCTGCCATTGACTCCAGTACTTTTTCCCCTTTCAAAATGTCATTAGTGCCATATAATAATAATAATAATAATAATAATAATAATAATAATAATAATAATAATAAAAAAAAATAAAAAATAATAATAATAATAATAATAAAGTTGGAAGGGACCTTGGAGGTCATCTAGTCCAACCCCCTGCTCAGGCAGGAAACCCTACACTATTTCGGACAAATGGCTGTCCAGTCTCTTCTTAAAAACTTCCAGTGTTGGAGCATTCACTGCTTCTGGAGGCAGGTTGTTCCACTGGTTAATTGTTCTAACTGTCAGGAAGTTTCTCCTTAGTTCTAGGTTGCTTCTCTCCTTGATTAGTTTCCATCCGTTGCTTCTTGTCCTGCCTTCAGGCGCTTTGGAGAATAGCT